TACTAATTGGAATTTTCTCTTACAGCTTGAGCCTAAGTGTGTCGCAGGATACCCTCTAGGTGATAGTTCTTGATTACTTTTTGATAAATAATTGGTTCTTATTGCTTATCGTGTTTGAATCGTGTGTTTCTTAGAGTTTGCATGTAAATGTAAATGTTTCGTTCAAGACATTTTGCTTCTTCATTTTGTTTAACTGGTTCTTAGTTTTTGTGCATCTGAATATTTTATTTGCATAATTATTTTTGACCTTATGTTTAATGTTTCTCCTACTTCAAACGCCAAGTGTTAACTTATTCACATACAATTAAAAAGCGTTCTGAATTAAATAATTGCCTCTAAATGATATGAAACACTCAAGAAAAGATTCCAATATATACAAATTCGTTCAAAATCCCTCAATTGATGAGATCGAGCCCTAATTTTCCCGATATCACATAGCGAACGCATACAATTGCGGGACCCAACTTGTTTCCAAATCATTAAATCCAATATGGGCGAAAACTGGAAAATTACAACTCCAATTTAGCGTGTAGCGCACCCCCAAAGATTATACGAAAAGATTAGCAACGATAACCCTCTTATTCTTAAGAAAATTCAATGGGGAAATGAATACAGAAATGAACAATATCCAGTGAATAAGAAACTCCCCCCAATTCCTTACAAAAAAAATGGGAGAAACGCAATATTTGTGCTGATACATTTGTGGCCATAAATGCGCCGGATTAAATTTTCTTTTCGGCGTTTAGATTGCTTTTGGGTTTGCCTGCTCTTTTTCAATCTGATCAGCTTGGCAGGAAAAGTTCAGAAAAGACCAAGAAACTATGCATTTGAACAATGTGAACGACCCGCATGGTCGTTAAGAGAGTTCTTTGAAAAATTATTCATTTGATTGTCCCACAGATGAATGAATGACTGACACTAAAGAATCTGATTCAAGTGCTTAATTTATAAGAAAATCTTTGAAAAATTCCGCAGAAAACCCCGCTACAAAATAGCTTTTCCCGGGAAACTCAACCAACCGAACCGGTTGCCGTAAATTGGACCTTTCAGCTATTTTACCACCCATGTACTAAATGAACTGAAATTATTCTAATGAGTTATTTATAGCACCTTTATGAGGATCCTATAAACTCCCCTTGTTTTGAAACTTGGTCGTGTTCACTGTAATTTATTGAGGCCTGGTGGCTGGCCTGGTTAGAAAGTGTGTTTCCCTTTACGATATTAATATTATCTGGCCCCGAATTAGATCAACATTTCAAGTTAATCGGTTCAAAGATATCCAAACATCTGTTTCCATTCAGCAATCTTCCATGTAGTAGTGAAGGTGTTTGTAAATAAGTCCAATAAACGCGCGCTATAAAATGAGGCTCACGAGCACAACTCATCTCTTGGGCACGCCTTCTTCAGCAACTTCAGAAATCAGTTTGGAATGGTTCACATCAAATTTCAGCCGAAATTGAACCGTCTAAACATGTCACTAAGGATATAAATATCTGAAGCCTTAAATAGCACATTTCGCCCCCAAATGCCTCTAATTTTCCCCGTTCAAATTCATTTAGAGTCAACCGAAAGTGTCTGTGTAAAATGTGCTGTAGCAGCATCGCACTGTATAGCTGCAGGAATGAGGCCAGGAAGAGAATATTCGTTTAACGGCCCCAAAGGTGTGTGTAATAGGACAAAAGGAACAGAAAGGTAATTAATCTTCAAAGGGCGGGATCAAGGGCTGTTATTGGTGTGTTCGAACGCTGTTTTCCCCAGAACATAAATAGTCAGGATGCACGTGTAGGAAGTTGGAAGCAGCCACACGTAGAATGACTTGCCGACATTTTTATCTTTCTCGGTTTCCTCAGTCTCAAGTCTTCCATGTTAGCAGCAATTGCACTGAAATGTTGCCATTTTGATCAAAAATAGAGTTTCAAAGGTGAGCTTCCGATCCAGCCGTCCAACGACTTCAAAGAAGCACAAACAGCGCAGTCAATTAAGCAGCCGAAGAGAGACATACGAGATTTCGAGAACGGCGCTGACATGGCCATAATTTAATTTGGGAATTGCTTGCCAAAGGTTTCGCATTTGATCTGGAAAATCAACGAACCTTTCCAGTGTTAATGGAAAAAACAATGCGATTTTATCAAGAGGAATTTGAGTTTTATGTTACAAAATTATTACGTGCAGTCATATAATACATTTTGTTGTATTTTTTATTTGTCTGAAAGGAATTGGCCTAAACTTTCGTTCATTTTTCCATAGAGTCGTCAATTTCTTGAGCTTTAACAGAGCTTTTCTTTTAAGCACGAGCACAGAGGTATGCAAAATATGGTGTTGCGCTTTCAAGACCATTTTTGCCCAGAAAATTAGTGAAAAGTATAAAAATCAACTGCACTTAACTGTCTCTCTCTA